TTAAATAAATTTTTTTTTTTTTTTTTTTTTTTTTTTTTTAAAGTTAAGCCTCTTGCTGGTGCCTGCGATCTCCTGCCACAGACACAGCAGCTCCTCGGTCGCTGCTGCCCCAGGGTCCCACCTCAGCATCACCCCGGGGGGGTGGTGGGTGCCTGGTGTCCCCCCCTGTCTCTGCCAGGTCAGGGGTACAACGTGTCCCACCAGAGCGGGGACTCTGCCGTCCTGGAGATGCTCGGATGCAGATGGGACACCCCAGGCTGTTTGGTGGAGATGCCTGGGCTCCATCCCTGTCCCCCCACCAAGGTCACCCCCACCTCGGGGGTGTAGTTGTCACCAACAGCGTGTTCCCGGCCACCTCCTGCCCAAAAGGCCTCCTTGCAGGTGGACCTGGGGCCAAAACACCACGGGGTTGTCACCTCCCAACTCCTCCTTTCCATCCACCAAAACCCCTGGCAGTTTTGGGGGTGCTGGAAGCAGCCCCCCACCCCCCCATTGCCATCGCCCTGGGACCAAGGTTGGGGGGTTTCTCCCTGGGGAACCCCAACACTCCCACCACCCTCCCCTCCGGCCGCGGCTCCCTCTTGCATCCGCAGGAGCTGGTTTCTTCTGGAGATGGGTTCACCCAGGAGCCAAAACTCCTCGGGGGTGCTGGAAGCAGCCCCCCACCCCCCGATTGCCACCACCCTGGGACCAAGGTTGGGGGGTTTCTCTCCCTGGGGAACCCCAATGCTCCCACTGCCCTCCCCTCCGGCCGCGGCTCCCTCTCACTTCCCTCAGGAGCTGGTTTCTTCTGGCGATGGGTTCACCCAGGAGCCAAAATTCGTGGCTCCTCGGGAGGGAGGAAACGAAGCAATTAATTAACACCCGATATTAACAGGCACCGGGGACGTGGTGGGAGCAGGTAGGACCTACAGCCGCAGCGCAGCCCGTTTGAGACGTCGCCGCTGCCTTCCACGAGCTGCTAAATAATTAATTCTCAACTCACCCGGGGAGGTGATTAAAATATGAGGGGGGGGCGGTGGGAGGGTGTCATCTTCCCATGGGATCGGGCGGGAGGGAAAGGGAGCCAGAGCAGGATGAGCATCCCTATGGTGGGAGGGAGAGGAACCCATGCTTGTGGAAGAGGAGGAAGAGGAGGAGAACATGTGTAAGGAAGGGGATGTTGGAGGAGATGGGGAATGACATGGGGCTGTGGGTGAGAAACGCTTGTGGGGTCGCAAGGAAGAGGAGGGAAGGGGCTCCAAGGGGATGGGGGAGGCCACCCCACATCTCCAGCTGCCCTCGGAGGGAGCCAGCAGGGAAGGATTCATGGAGACACGGGGTGGGATGGGATGGATGAGGAGCAAGTCCAAGCAGTGAATGTGAAGCTGCATGGAGACTCTCCTTGTCGGGATCCTTCCTGATGGCGCCTGCGGGTCCAGCCGGACACTGCCTGGGGAGAGAAGAAAATCTCCTGCGCAGGGAAGAAGCAGCCAATGTAGTGCTGGTCTCTTGACCAGACAGAGAAACTTCATCCCAGTTTTGCTGGGCACGGCACAGCCCTTCCATCAAGGATGGTGGCCACCTTGGAGGGGAGGATGGCACAGCCCGTCCATCATGGATGGTCCTGTCTTGGAGGTGAGGCTGGTGTGGCACAACCCTTCCATCATGGATGGTGGCCACCTTGGAGGTGATGGTGGCACAGCACAGCCCCTCCATCATGGATGGTCCCACCTTGGAGGTGAGGCTGGTGTGGCACAACCCTTCCATCATGGATGGTGGCCACCTTGGAGGTGATGGTGGCACAGCACAGCCCCTCCATCATGGATGGTCCCACCTTGGAGGTGAGGCTGGTGTGGCACAACCCTTCCATCATGGATGGTGGCCACCTTGGAGGTGATGGTGGCACAGCACAGCCCCTCCATCATGGATGGTCCCACCTTGGAGGTGAGGTTGGCCTGACACAGCCCCTCTGTCATAGATGGTGGCCACCTTGGAGATGAGGGTGATGGAGCAGAGCCCCAACATCGTAGGCAATGGCCACCTTGGAAGTGAAGGTGACACAGCACAACCTCTCCATCCCAGCAGCCCCTCCATCACGCATCTGCCCTGGCTTGACACGGAGTTGCCCATCTTGGGAACCTCCCATGTGGACAAGGTGGCAACTGCTCGTCCTTCGCCACCCATTTTTTGCCCTGCCAGAGGAGCCCAGCGCATGGCCAAGGTGGGCAACGGGGGACCAGCCCCTCCAAAATCCGGGGTGGTAACAGCGAGGGGAGGACATGAGGAGGAGTCGGGGGGACGGGTGACATCCTCAGCCCGGCTCTCAGCTACAGCTGCTCCCCCACACGGGCTGCAGGGACTTATTGGGATTCAGGGCAAAATTGGGTCAGGAGGATTGAAGAGGGTCTAAAGATGCTCCTGTTCACAAGACACATGGCAGAGCGTGGCGGGGGGACTCCGGGATCTGGGTCTGGCCCCCCCCCCCATCATCCCCCTCCTCCCTGCACCCACTGCTTTGGATCCTACTCACCTACCTGTGGTGCTCCTGTTTCCCATGTGAAGACACAACCGCCGTTCTCCATCTCATTCCAGCTGGACACCATCCCTGGAGCTCCATCTTGCTCCGAGCTCAGCATCCCTCGCCGTGCCTCAGTTTCCCCAGCCTGTAGACGACGGCAGGTGCCCAACCCGTGGGTTCTCCTCCTGCCCTGGCTTTGCTGGAGTGCAGAAAGAGGGAGGAGGAGCACGGTTTTGCACGCGTGGGTGCACCACGGGGATGGAAGGGGGACAAGCCGGGCTCCCCGTCAGCGCCTCGAAGAGCGTCCACTGTGTGCCGTGCCAGTCGCCCCAGCCCATCCTTTGGGCCCTGTGGAGGAAAACAACACAAGGGGCTTTAATCAAACGCCTCAACGCTTTGAAACGTCGAGGTTATGGCCAGCTATTAAATTTAAATGCTTGGTTAGTTTGTCCCGGGGAGGGGGGACGGCCCTTTGTGGCCGGGCGAGGGCTGGCACCGGGACGCGGGGCGCGGAGGGAATTGGCATCGGCAGCGGGTCTGTCCTCCTCGCTCCGTCGTCCCCTTTTCTCTCGTGGACACACAACAGGATTAGAGCCACGACCCCGAGACAAGGAGCCTTTTCTTCCTTCTGACGAGCTCCGGCTGCCTGAAACAAAACCCGCCCGAGCCTCCATTCACCGCCCCAGCCCTGGCCAAGGAGGGGAGAAGGGCTGGGAGCGGCAGCTCCGTGGTCCTCAGAAGGTTGTGAGCACCACGAGCCATGCCCAACGTCCTTTGAGGGATGTTTGGAAGGTGAGGTTGGCCGCCTCCTTTCTCCTTGGTCACTCATCCATGTCCTCCTCCACCGGCTCCCTCTGACCAGAGCTGCTGCCCAGACGTCTTCTGGTCCTACACATCTACATGTGGTGTGCTGAATCCCACCCTTCTGTCCCACCTCCAGCCTCCCAGGACCAGAGAAAGGAGGATCAGCCTTGAGAGACCATTCCCAAATCCTTCTGGACCATCCCTGGGAGCTCCTCTGCCAACCCAACTTCAAGAGGGCTTAAAAGAACGCCGGGAACAGATTTTTTTTAGCAGGGCCTGGTGTGACAGGGCAAGAGATAATGGTTTTAAGCTAAAAAAGGGGAGATTTACGCTATATAGAAGGAAGAAATGTTTTACGCTGATGGTGGTGAGAGCCTGGCCCAGGTTGGCCAGAGAAGCTGTGGCTGCCCCATCCCTGGAGGGGTTCAAGGGCAGGTTGGAGGGGGCTTGGAGCAACCTGGGCTGGTGGGAGGTGTCCCTGCCCAGGGCAGGGGGTAGAACTAGATGGTCTTTAATGTCCCTTCCAACCCAAATTCTGTAATTCCCAGCACAGGATCGCTGCACAGGGAGCTCAGGATGCTTCCCAGTGACCCAAGGGCGGGTGGTGAGGCACGTTTGGGAGGAGATATGTCCTCCAGGGCACTGTGGGGAGCTTGTGGGAGCATCTTTGCCAACCTCCAGGTCTTCCTGCCACCACCGGGCTGCCTCCTGGCTTGTAGGAGCCCTTACCTGGTATGTGCGTAGCCAGAAAGCATCGGGATCTCAGTATTTAACGATGGGAAATACCAATTACTTCGTTATTCTCAGTCTCACTGTAAGAGGGAGCGAATCCAGCATTAAACTGACTCTGCGTTGGATTTAGAGCGAGGAGAAAAGCAAAATCCTCTTAAGCTGCATAAACTGTAAAATGCTCGGTGTGGGCAAGAGCAGCTGGGCGTGCGGTCGCTGGAGGGAGCGACGGGCTGGGGATGGTTGTCACCATGGCAGCCCCTCGTTCTTCACCGCTTCATTCGAGGGCTGGGTGAACTGGTTGTGCTGGGAAAGGGAGAGAGCAGGGTGCCCAAAAACGCCTGCAGGCATCGATGGCCACCAGCCACCAGAGACTGATTTGAAACGTAAAGCCAGGAGGCAACTTGGCCGAGACTAAACGTGGAGTGACCGAGCTCAGAAGCCTGGTGAAGGGATGTGGAAGAAAAGGGAAATAAAAGACAAGGGACCCCGCGACGGCGGGAGAACTGGTGAGTGAGATCTCATGGGAGGCACGTCGAAAGGTGAAAGGAGTTAAGGAAACTGGCAGTTCTTCAAAGAAACGATGCAAACACCACACATCCAAGCCATCCCAAGAGGAAAAGTAAGAGGGACCCGCTTGGCTGCGTCGCCAAGGTCCTCGCTGACCTCAGGCTCAAGAAAAAAATAGTTTACAGAAAGTGGGAACTGGGTCAAATTGCTAAGGACAGTCATAAGAGTAGCATAAGCATGTGGGGAAACGTCAAAAGGGCCAAGGCACAAATTGAGATGGAAATAGCAAGCATCATTAAGAGGAAGAAGAAAAGACTGCGTCGGCAGGAGGAGAAGGAGCAAGGGAGCGTTGGTCTGGCCCCTGTGAAGAAGGAAGGCAGCTGACAAAGGAGGCTGAGAATTCAAGGGTTTCACTGCTGGTTTGTTTTTTT